AGGCAATGATGATAATGAGGATGATATTTTAGATAACCAAGATGAAATAATGGAAGAAGTAGACTCTAAACTAATGGCTTACTTTAAACAGAAAAAGCTAGAAAAGACAAAGAAAAAAGGTATAAGAATTATAAGAAATGTTAAAATTCTTATCAACATTCTTTTACACTTGTATATTGATCTAGTTCATAAATTATGTTTATTAATATGTATCTAGATGCAAAATACCAGAGAATTCGGTTTAAGCATAAAATTATTGGATTACTACGGATATTTGTTCTATCCCAACCAACCAGTCCATTGATTTTTGAGCTATTTGTTCCTTTGCTTGAACTTGCCAAGAACGCGAAAACTGATGAAATTGCAAAAAGCGCATTTTCTCTTGTAAGCACCAAAGTCAGCGTTATAAAAGAGATGCCCAGTCAATTCGATAGTGATCGTGTGCTCACTATATTGCAACAAACTCATAATATGGCTTTAAAAGCTTGCTCCTGCGACCTGGCAGCTTTGTGTTGGAAATCTAGCTCTTTTCTACTCAAATCTCTGATCAATTGTCATAAAGACGACTTAAATAACGACTCTGAGAATGAATGCTTAAATAAAGATATAAAAAAGGCCATCAACATTTATGAGTCTACGTATGAGAAATGGATTAAAAAGTCTGGCTGTTTACATATGAAATCATTTTCTGAGTTGCCAAATCACATACCTAAAATTCCATGGCATCTAACGAATATTTTTCTTGGGTTTACTGATCCAAAGGTTGCAAAAAATCCAAAAAAAGTAATGATTGCATATGATATTTCAGCATCCATTTTTAATAATGTTGCATCAAAAAATAATAAGGTAAGAGCATGTTGTCATAACAACACGTTATAATGACTATTAATATGTTGCTTTATAACAGGAACCGTTAGATGACAGTGTCATGAATGCACTTGTGCAGAGATCACGAGAGTCTTTCATCATTACAATCCAATTTGTATCTCAGGATTTGCAATGTGGAAAGAAATATTTTGATTCTCAAACGTTAAAATCGGTGATGAAATTTGCGATTATAACCATGAAAAAAACAAGTGTTAACATGCCGAAAGACAAGGTATATAAAAAGAATTTATTTTCTAAACTTATGGCGTTTAAAAAAAAATCGATTAAAAATTTTTTTGAATTTCTTAAATGTAGATTAAAAGTACGTGGGATGCGGACCATCTTCAGCCGTTATTGGAAAATATCAAAGAGCTTCCAAGATTCAAGTCCTCACAGACAATTGGAAATTCTATTAATGAAATAATTCGTATCATTTCATGATGCAACAATCATAAGCGGAAGTTTTTTTCTTAAAAATTTAAAAAATTCTTTTTATAAATTCTAAAATGCAAATTGTTTCCTTTATTATTCAAATTGTATCAATAAATATATATTAATTTATAAGTGTGATTAAAACAATTATATTCTTACAAATGGTTGTAAATGTATTACTTCCGAAATATCGTTGGAATATATCATAATTTTATCATTATCTCTAATTAAAAAGAAATTAAAACCTAGTTTAATTAATAAATAACTTTTAATAGCGTTGTTGTTGCAATTGGATATTTCGTTTTAATTCTTTATTTCGGGTCCATGAGCTTCTAAATATTCTAATAGATAAATAACAGGCATAAGCAGAAGTTACAATGCTATTGGCACAAACACTATTTATTAAAATTTTCTCATACCTCATCCTTTGGATGGCGAGTATTGCGATAACGGCACTGCGGAATTTGTTTAATAACGGTGAAGTAACACGGCGAGGATTACGCAAGTCTGATATCAAAAGTAAAGTTGCCTGTTCACTAAATAAGAAAAAAAAAAAAGGGTAAATAAAATTGTAATCATATATTTATACAAAACATTAATGTTTATAGCACAAAAGTAAATACTAACCATGATTCCATACCACCAAGGAGTACCAATAAAAATTTTTTCTGATAGCATAAATCAGCGCGAAATCTAGATTCCCGATAGCATTTTGCTTTAAGATATCGTACTTCATTAAGTAACATTTTACAATCTTCAACATGTTGCATTCGTTCGCTAATTAGCTCAGATTGATATTTGTGCCTATATTTTGCATCCTATCGTGCAAATAGCAAATAGTAAGAATTCAATAATTCAACTCCTTATTGCAGATTTTTATATAATATATACCTTTTCTTCAAGCATTTTCTGATATTCTGGAGGAATATTTCTGCTTTCCCAATTAAGATAAAAGTTTATAATTAAATGAATTCAACTTTAATCGCTATAATATTTATAAATTACCTCTGGCCGTTTTCTATATTATTAGAATTAATGACTTGCATTTTTTCTATTAATGCCAATTGTTGTTGTTGAGTCGACTGAATTTCTTCCTGCAAAGAGTTAATTTCATTTTGTGCTGATTCTTGCAGCTTTTGGAGCTGGCTATTTTTCATAGACAACTCGTGTTTCAGTCTAGAAATTTCGTCCACTAATGTCTTGATTTCACCATCTTCAATTGACTATTCGAAAAACATATTTGAGTGGATAATTTGTGTTAAATAAACAATTAGGTGTACTCACACCACCAACACGTCTTTTATTTGAAGCCTCCATCCTTTGAAGCTGTAATTTATATTGATTTCGTTCAACCCCAAAATTATCTTGCAATTGTTCCATTTCGTCCCGTAATCTATTACATTGCTCTTGGACAGCTTGTAATTCATCTTCATATCTTGATAATTGTTCATTTTTAGATTGGTGATCTCGTCGTTCAGATTGTAATTGATCGGTGATATTTTGAATTTCGACTTCAAGCGCTTTAATGTGTTCTTTTTCGTCGCGAATATCCGATTCAAGGGATTCTTTAGCCTGCGACAAATGAAATTTTTATAAAAATTAAAATAAATGCTAATAATAAATAAAAAATAAAGAAATAAAAATACCTCATTAGAAATTAGGTATTTTCTTTGTAATTCGGATTTTTCCTTAAGTGCGACATTCTTCTCTTTGTTTAATTTTGATGTCTTCTCTTTTTCAGTTTGAAGTTCGCCTTGTAAATCTTTTATTTTTTGAGTCGCACGCTCAGATGTAACTTCTTTCTCTATAGAATTAAAATTATACTATTTAGAGATTTGCGCTATTTTAGACAAAAGAAAAAAATTTTTTGTTGTAAACTAAATACAAGGCACTAATAAATATAGACCTTTTTGTAATCGTCTCAATCGTGTTTCAAGCTCATTAATCGATGTGTTTTTCTTGGCGTGTCGATTGGATTCCTGTTAACATTAATTCAATTGAGCAAACCACGAATTTATAATGAATTAATATATTTGAATAATAATAACATTAGTGTACCTTTTGCAAATTGTCTAATTGTTGTGATAATTCATTTTTTTCTTTCGTCAAAGCAGCCTTTTCTAAAGTTAAAGCTTTCTTATTAGCTGTAACTGATTGCAATTCCTCATCTAAGCTTCTATTATTTGAAATTAATTTTTCAATTTCCTAAATAAGATAAACAAATGAGTGCATAAAAAGAAAGAAGTCACCAAAAAAAAAATTGAATATATTAAAACCTTTTGTAAAGATTTTATTTCTCTTTCATAAGAATCTTTTTGTATGCGTAATTTTTTATTGAACGTTTCTTTTTCTTGTTTCCAAGAATTTTCTAGTTCTTTGTGGTTCATTTCCAATTCTGCTAACTGATACGCTTTAGTTTTTGTACTAGATTCTTTTAATAGCGTCCGTTCTTCATTCCACCTATGTTTCAGAGCTTCCAATTCTTTAGCATGAAGTTGCGTTATCTGTGCGGATTGGAAATGAACCACAAAGAACTAGAAAATTCTTGGAAACAAGAAAAAGAAA